GATGAAGGCATTTGGAAAATAGGCAAAGATGGATGAGTTGAACATGAATGACATGAAGCCCTTATTCCAAAGATAAATTGCCTCACTTTGTAAATGTTACATGGAGAGAATCTGAAATTAGGTCATCTTTAAATGAAGCTGTAGGCCCCAGTCAGATAGAGTGTGTTTTAGCAGCCTGGGGAGCTTTTTGTAATTGTTTTCAATGAGTGTGGAGTGTTCAGCATGCTATACATACATTGCTAAATATCTTGCATTCTTCTGCTCTGTGCAAATAAATGTTTGCAGGAGCAGTCTGAATGCCTCGAGTATAATTATCGTTTTCGTTTTTTCCCGTTATCCAATCAGATGACTGGAGAAGAAGCTCTTCTGTACAGGAGATGTTCCTTAAGACTCTTAGCTAATGTGACTTTATTTATAAATATCTTTTAAACTGCTGCTACTCATGTGCCCTTTTATGCTGCTGTTGCCGTGTGCCAAATGTATTTGTTTTTTCTAAGTATTCATTTATTTTTATATTCCTGTATTTTACTTGCATAGGGTGGACTAGCAAAGTAAGATTTTCATTGTACGGTGTAACTGTCTGTTTACTGACAATATATGACAATAAATATCTTGAATCTTGAATCTTTACCAATCATAGCTAACATGAACAGAACCCAGTCTCGAGTAAAAATAGTGAAATACTTGACATTTTGGATAAGATTGTTTTCATTTACTTAAACAATTCATGCTTTGTTTTAAGCTAAGCACTCATTCAGTGGTTGCCTAGAAATAATAATGAAACGTGTCAGTAAATTCTTCAGCATTTCAACACAGCGCACGCACGCACGCACACACACACACACACACACACACACACACACACACACACACACACACACACACACACACACACACACACACACACACACACACACACACACACACACACACACACACACACAAACACACACACACACACACGCACAGCACTACATCTATCTGAATGAGTTCCTTCCATTTTCACTGTGTTGTTATTGATTGTACTTAAACAGCCCCACTCCTGTTGACTTGTACCAGGAAATTGGCTTCATATTGAAACTGTCACAGCAAGGGTGCGTTTCACTTTGGGCCCTGAGGGCGCGGGGGAGACGTTACACAAGAGGAATCAATCTTTAGTGCCTGGCATTGGCTTGTTCCTGTAAAGGTTTTTTTGTTGTTAGTATTTCTGTTTTTTAAATGAGTACAGTAGTACTGTTAGTTGTGGTGGCACAGTGGCTAAGCACTTTAGATTGTCCCTACATCAGGTTCAAACTCCATCCTGCCCTTCCTTTTTGAAGGACACTGGATCCCTGGCAGTTTCATAGCAGCTACTCTAGTTGGCCGTGACCAGAGATGGGGTCGTTACTAAAAAAAAGTAATATATTACATATTACATATTACTTTAAAAAAAAGTAATATATTACACTACTTCGTTACTCTCTACATAAAGTAACTCGTTACTTTACTCGTTACTTTACTCGTTACTTTACTCGTTAGTTTACTCGCAGGGCCGGCCTGCCCCTACAGGCAGATCACGCAGACTGCGGCGCACCTACAGTGTAAGCGCGCCACAGTTTTGCCTCTGCGAGACTCCACTTGCCCCCCAATTACTATTGCATTAAGGAAGACATAACACAAGTCTTTATTTTTATATGCTCTAAAATAGGCTACCAGCCACACAACAAGCTAACAGTCTGTGAAACGTCAAGACACTAATTAATGAAACCAGTTCAAGACGCATTATTCTTATCATTCTTTATGAGCGCATAACGGTAAGATATCTAATTACTTATGTATTTAGTATTCCATAACTTAGTAACAGAGATGGTCAAACTAAAGTGGTAGAGACATGGCAGAATTCCTACAATGAAGCGGGGCATTGAACTGTTCACCCGTGAGAGGGCGATCAACAAAAGAGAGCGAGCGGCCCCGTTGAGGGAGTTTACAGATGAAAAGACTCAGCCATGTTTATGCAGCACTGCACGTGGAGATGTGGTCTCGCAAATCGCGCAGATTACATAGGCCTACATGTGTCCATGCCCGGCGCCGTGGGAGGGCCAGGCCCTCCCATTTGACATTCCTGCCCTCCCCCAATAAACACGTTTTTTATTATTTATAAAAATGAAAAAATATATATATTTTATTTTTTTAATTATAAATAAACTGTGAACTTTTATGCTACGATGTATGTGATGTCAGAACAAAACAAAAAAATCGCAGGCTACGTCAAATAAATGCATGTGTCCGTGATTTGTGATTCGTCCCCATTTAGACCAATCACAGCGTCACACTCTGCCGCCTATTCTGGATTTGTTTATTGTGCATTCTGTAGACTCCCATTTCTGTTTGCATTACAAAATGGACATCAGAAATTGGCTCCAAAGGTCTAAGGATTTATTAAAATGAAATAGCGATGAAAGAACTGCAGCCGATGCAGCTGCTGCACCTGCCGTTGCAGCAGCACGCCTTAATGTCACAAGCTTGACCTCGGCAAACCCCGGGGCTGAGTTAGCGATGATCTTGGGGTTAATAAACCCAAGCAGGTGAAACTGGATCGTTATCCAGGGAGATTGTTTTCAGGAAAGAAGCGCACTTTTGCCGCTGCATCGTACACAACAGACCATGGCTTGAATATTCGTTAAAAGCAGACGCAGCCTTTTGTTTCCCCTGTAGACAGTTTAAATTAAATACGTCTTCATCTGATGCGGCTTTTACTGTCAAAGGTTTTTGCGACTGGAAACACGCATTACAGACTGATAAAGGACTGCTAACGCATGCCGCATCAAAAGAACACATTTCATGTGAGAGTTTGTGGAGAGAGAGAGAGATACGCGAGGAAACAAATAAGGAAATTAGTACTTTGGTGCAGATCAGCTGGCACGGAGCCGTTATTACGTATCAGCTGTCGTTTATATTATAGCTTTTTTAGCTGTCAACCTTGCTCGTGATTTACCAGTGTCTGTGCTGCCACGCACACAATGTTTCAAAGTAGTTGCTATGTTGCCCTTTATTTGTGTATGTTTGCGATAAGTGTGCGTCTTTACGCAATGCTGTTGGCCTTGCTGTTTGATATATATTGTGCCGCAGGCCCGCAGCACGTGACGGTTTTGTGTGCCCTCCCATGAAAATCATAGGCCCTCCCTTTAGATTTGTTCTGGCGCCGGGTCTGCATGTGTCCTATATAAACCGATAT